TTTATTTTTGCTTTTGCGTAACTAAATAACTAACGTTTATTAAAACTCCAAAAATGTAATGGAAGACAAGCGTATTGTTAAATAGAAATAATTATCAAACATTCGCAAAATCAAAAAAAGTGTAGACGCATTCAAAATAAGATAAATTTAATTTGGACGAGAATCGTGGCGAGATTAAGATTGCAATTGTGAGAAATGACTTCTCGCGAAAATACGAGGAACAAAGAAGCAATGAATACTTAGAACGAGACGACGTTAATCGACTTAGATCCATTTTTTTATTCTGTGTTTGGTGTGAAGTCGAGTCGTGAGAGGATCGATAAAGGTCGAGCAGAAAGAGCAATCTGGTCGAATGAAAGCGAGGGGTTGCAGCAAGCGATGCCGCATTGGAACGGTGATGAAATAAAGGCAAAGCGAACGCCAAGCTGCGAAAGGGTCGACAAATTGGCGTGCCATTTGCGTCATGTTTATGCATCTACTTATAGTCTATACTGGAAAATAATTTCCACTATTCGCGATATCGCACGAAACAGTTAATTAACCGCAAAAATTTCAATCTGCTTAGTTTTAGAGACTTTGTTCTTATCGAAAATTGAAATATAAAGAAAGGATATAAAAAGCCATTTCGAAAAATAGTGTACAATAACAATATTTGAACGCATCAAAATAATTTTCTGCCACATTTGTCGTAGAAAACAGTTTTATCTTTTCTTAATGTAAAAAAAATCTCTTTTATTGTATATTACGAAATAATTATCTGGAATAATTACTGAAGCTCATCTGAGAAGACGGTTCTTTTATTATACAACATCGTTAATCTGGACGATATCGTGCGTATCACATCTCTGTACCTTTCAGTTTATGAAAGAGAAAGATTTAAAAAACTGTAAGAGGATGACATCGTCGGGAAATAACGCTACAGCGGAGGAAATGAGGTAGATTGAACGAAACAGGAATGTGTTTGCTGTTTACATTATAGATGTTTTGCTGGATTGCGTTTTTGTGCGATGTTACATCGCTCTCAAAGATCTCCTTTAAATGTAATGAGACCTTGAAACTTCATTAGAGAAAAAGAACGGAAGAGTACGAGCGAAATACGAACGACAAATTACTGCCTTTTAACGAGAAACGTAACTGCAAAGACGATCGTGCGTATACTGATAATATATAAAATTCGAGGAATCATTATACATATTTATCTTGTTAGTTTTCACTTTATTGTCCTTAATACTTTTCATCATACAAATTTACAAATTACCTTAGCGTTAAATTTTGTACAATGTTTCTCTCTCTCTCTCTCTCTCTCTCACTCTCTCTCTCTCGGATTTGTTGTTATTTTATAGTAATTTAAAAGATATAAAATCATACAATATAAACTTTAAAATCAAGATAGTTCTTTCGTCAATTTTCGAACTTTGGAGAAATATTTACTCTAAAAATTCTAATAAAGTAACTATATATGAAAGTACTATCTGAATTTTGTTGTTATAAGCTCCAAGAGCAAAAAAGAGTATGACGTTTTGGCATTTGAATGTTTGTCATGTTGAGAAACATATGCATTTTTATCAAAAAATTAGGTCTATTTAACGTTTGTGATTACACTGACTTGCTATATCGAAAGAACATATATGTAGTCAGTCGTCTGTTTTATAAAAATTTGTTTCATAATACAAACTGTCAGTGTCCGCAAACTGAAAAAAGTTGATAGCCTTTTCAACACAATTGATATAAAACACAATTTATATATAACATCATTAATTTGTAATCCTTTTCAAAATAATTAAATTTAATTATCACAGCACATATAACGTCCAATGTTGTAAGTTCATGCAAACTGAATTATTAATTATTAGTCTTAGAAATGTAAGAAAAGTAGAAGAAAACTAAATAAGGTTTACTTGTACTTTTATCAAATAAAGAGAATCTTAAAAATGGTCAAATATCAAATATCATATACTTTTACATAATATTTAAATCTCTTTGACGATATTTTGAAAGTTTTTTAATGAAATTCCTTCTGGTTGATGCGGAGGAAAAAGCGTAAACTAGATTGTACTTCGATCTCAGCTACCGCATACTTACGGTAAGATTAAACATTTCTATATAAGGACCGCGAAGTTTCAAAGTTAAACTCGGAGATAAAACTATTAAATACGCTCTAGATACTGACAGAGCAAGTATTACATAGTGAATGTTTTATCAACACAACAGAGTTACGAACTCTACCTCTCCGAAAGTTAGGTACTTTCAAAAAGGCGTTACTTGATGCAAAGAAATTTGCAAAGAAATTTACTTTTTTTTTGTTCATGTATCGCATTACAACATCACAAATGTCAAATCAATCAATTATGTCTAATTTACAAAAGAAAGATGAAAAAATGTAATACAAATATTTTAATTTATTTAATCAAAAAATTACATTTATATTTATAATTATTTTTTTTTAAATTATATTGATATTTTCTGTCACATTTTTTAAGTACTTCAAAAATATTTCTAAATAGCAATAAAAATTGAATAAAGTTCATAGAAAAATTGAATTAATCTTTAACTTATTTGAAAATGCAGATTTTATAAATAAGATAATTATAAGCTGCATTGTTATAATGCTTTATAATATTTGTTTGCAACTGTAATTAGTGCGTTGAATGGTTGTTTATTTCAATAATTGCATATTCGAACGAAGCACAGAGAAAATAGCAATGTCAAATCATCAATCAGAGATAGGAGAAACAGAGAATGATAGAAAAGGAAAATTAAAAAGAGAGAGAAAAAAGAGAAAGAAAGGGGGAGAGAGAGAGACAGAGAGAGAGAGAGAGAGAGAGAAACAAAGAAAAAAGAGAAATATAGCTTTATTTGTAATTGACAGTGAGACTATTAATCAGTGGAAACTTGATTAAGAGTCGTGATATGCTGATCTCCACCCTATTCTCTCCTCTCTCTTTCATGAGGAATTTCGGGATTTAATTTAATCTGATTTACTTTCATTACATCACACTGCTTCGCAGCTATGTAATTGAAATGTGTTACTTGGGATATTCTCAGATAATTTTAACGTATGCCACGCGAAATTATAAATCAACAATTGCTTTCGAATGAGTGAAATATTCTCTAAAAAACGAAACCTAATTATATTGTCACATTTACGATTATAATAATACATTGCTTTAAATTTTTGCGAAAAGTAAAATGATATAGGATAATTTCTAAAGAAAAAAACAAAATTAAAAAACTGTTACATCGAGAAAAAACTATTACAATCGAGATGTAATTGTTACAACGTGAAATAATCAAAAAACTTGTTTCCTAAAATTAATTGAATTATAAAAATGTTCTTTAAACGTAAATTTCTTTTCCTTCAACAAACACTCGCGAAATCTTCTTTGAATTGTCGAAGACGATTCTCAAACGTCACGCAAAGCATTTTTACAGCTTTTTTGCAGAGAAAATTCAGATTACTAACGGCAAAGACATTTCCGACAATCGTCGTATCATTGATGGTTTCAACAAAAAAACTTATCGTAGAACATATCTTTGGAGCACAATTCAACAAATTCGTATGCTAATATATAGGACAATTTATAATAGTTATCTTTTTACATTTTCCAGATTACATTTTCGTGATACTTTCATATTTGTTAATATTATTTATTGCTAAGTGAAAAATTATGACAAAGATTTACAGCAACTATTTTTCCACTTTTTTACTTTCTTATACTAATTATATTTCATAGTTATTAATGTAAATTTGAATACATAAAACCTTAAGTAAATGAATCCGAGTACAAAATATTGTCTACTTTTCTTTTTTCTTCCAAAAAAATAATTGACGAAATAATTTTGATGAAAGTTTTAATGTTTGCGAAGTAAGATATAAAATAATTTATCATTTAATCTATATATATAAAATAATAGATTAAAATAAAATGTTATGATATTTTGCAGTTCGCAAACATTAATGCCAGTATTATCAAGAAAGTATCGATGCAATATCTATGATACTAATACTAATATTAGTTGAGAGTTATAAAAATTATGTACTTCAACAATTTGCACTTTAGATAACAAGTGAAAAAATGATTATTTGTGAAAGACGTTCTCAAAAAAAAAGCCGCTGTGTAAAAAAGAAATCCCATACGCAATGTCAATATAGTAGCAAAAAAAAATGAAACAAAAAAGGCAATTAAATAAAAAAACTTTATTTTTATATATGCGAGAATTGTAGCAGTGTGAAGCAAAAGTAATAGTGCTTCGCAACAATAATGTTATTTTTGTTTTCTGTACACAGAGAAACCTCTTAAAAGCTTTTCCTCCAAACTTTTTCGCGTTATATGTTTATCTTGCATTATATAAGCACATTTTTTTCTTATATAAATATACGTATTTATCTTAGTAGTTAAGTAAAGTAATTTCAAGTAAATTAATTTACTTGCATTTTGATATTTATATTTTAATATAGATATATCGATTATATGTTAAAAGCTGCGTGAATAAGAAATCATTGACTCGCGCTTTTACAATGATAAAATTTGTATTTCATTTTTATATCTTACTGGCTGTAAAATGTGAAACGATCTTCGCGCCGCGAACATTTGTAGCTTACCACCATTTTACAGTCGCAGTAAATTACGTCTTGTTTAAATGCTTCACCCGTTTTACTACGAGTGAATATTTTCTCAGCGAAGTCAAGCGCGTCAACTGCTTCGCTGTGCTACATCGAATGCTATTCTTCGCTGTGTTGAATTAAATTAATTATTTCGAGGTACGGGCTGTGAATTTCATTTACATATATCTATTGTAGTTCGCGAGATGTAGATTGCATTGCTTGTTAAAAAATTGTGTTATGTTAAGAAGATGCCTTGAGAAATAACTTTTATGATATTCTATATATTTTATATGTAAATTTATATCTATATATTGCGGAATATTTACACAATGTGAATTTTGTTAATGTTATATGTAATAATATTAATAATTATTTTATTGATTGAAATATTCAAAATATGTTAAAATATTTTGGATATTTAGATAGATTATTTAACGTTGAATGCATATTGATTGATAATTTGATTTTATTTTTTCAATAAAGTATACATAGATCTACAACATATAAAAAGATTTTTTTAATTTAGTTTTTGTTAGAAAATGCTCCAGAATTTGAGCAGAAAATCTAAATTTATTTGTAGATATTTTCTGTCTGCTACGATTTCTTTTTATTTTCGACATACAATTAATAAAATATAATTATTATCTCTCCAATTAGAGTATTGATTAATACCCGTTCAAGCGCCTACATTCGTACTAACCTGATTTGAATGTACATAGTTACACATCGTTATTCATTCTTTAAATGAATTATTTATTATCTTATAAGGGTTATATATGCTCTGGATATATAAAATTGTTATTTATATTCACGATTCACATGCTGTGGCATATTCAGAACAAGCTTGAGAATAAACTAAGTTTATAGTGCAAATATAAGATGTCCTTCAAGATGTCGCCTTATATCGCCTTATATTTTCCCAAGCTAATCTTAAAACACGTCAAGTTTATTTTATCTGACGATCTTCAAAGAAAATTTCATAGTGGCGTTTTGGGAATATAGAGTAAGATGTGACCATATAAAAACTAATAAATCTGAGTTATAAATTTTGTGTTTACTTCTTCAGTTTTGTCAAGTACTAAATTAATCGCATCATTCGTCTTGTCGTTGAAAACCTAGCGTCGTATATTTTACTAGCTCTCGTCGTGTTTGCACATTTAATGTCTGACAAATGTTGCACGATTTTGCCGGATTCAAAGTTAGATCAAAGGTTGCGCGAGAGAAGCCAAAGAGTTGAGGCACGTTTTCAACGAATATCATATGTCGTCTTTGCAAAAAATATGTGAATAGTGTTAAATAGAAGTGTGTGTGTGTGTGTGTGTGTGTGTGTGTGTGTGTGTTTTGAACGATTAATAAACTTGAACTTTTACTTCTACTGATATACTTCTTAGTCGTGAACTTTCAAGGTTAATCCCACGTTTTTAACGATTTAAAATATCAGTTTGTAGCACGCAACGAGTTATTTGAGATTTATATTCAGGATATTAGATTACATGAAAAGTTTAGTTAATTTCGTATTTTTTAAAAATAAATTATAATATTCGGAAATTATGGAAAAAATTCTGTTTATCTTCTCTAAAGTTACGAGAAGCAGAAAATTCTTGAGCCGATATTACTTTGATATGCATACGTAGTTAGAAATAATAACTATAATTGAGTTAGAAATATAATTAGTCTAGACACCTCTAGATTAAACATCATATTATATCAAGAAATTACCGCATACTATTTTAACAAATCACTCTTCATCAGACATGCTGAAACGAATAATACGTCAATCATTCTCTCTCTGTAGCTAGAATTTACTCACCTTCCATAGTCATATTATCTCCCAGTTTCATCTCGGTAGTTGTCCTCTTTTCCGCACATTCACGCGGCACTCATTAAGCGCCGATTAACAGGATCGTTCGACACTGATTTTCTAAGCTTCATTCTTTCTCGCTTCTTTACACTTACATTAATCTTGATTTGACGACTTAATTATTTCGTTCGCCGTGTTTATTCGCGGACATTTGTCAATTTATCACGTGCACTTGTCACTCACGCATAATCTTAATAATCTCGTAATGAATCATAATTAACGTTTCTTTTTTTTTTTTTTTTAGTAAAATCAATAATTTACTGCGAAGTGGATTCCAACGATTGGACCTCTATACCGATTTTTCGATTTTCAATGCACAATCAAGTCGTTGCTCAACGAAATTGGCTCTTTAAATTCTTCGTGCTGAGTACGTACGTCCTGAAACGATTTATCTCTGATAGTCTCTGGAGAGGAATGCTTCGTTCGTCTCTGTAAAACAAAAGTAGACGTTGGTTAAAGTTTCAATAGGTATTGATCATCAAACATTATGGGAATTGAAACGTGAAAAATCGACTGTGACATATATCCGGATTATAAAATAGATTTGGATAAAATAGATCATGGAATATATGCTAATTAAACATTTCCTGTGATTACGTTTGCGTAATATAATTCATGGGAAATTGTGTATTATGCGTGATGTAAACCCTATACGGCTTCCATACTAATTCCAAAGCGTAATTTATACTGCTACTATGGGAATTGATAGGATTAAATGTGAAGAGGGTAACAATCGCAATGCGCGATAATATTCAGGACTTTCGCATATGCATATCTGTGTCAGATGCCTTTAGTTTAAGGTTAGAGATACGTGGTTGCTGACCTTTCGAGAGGGATAAGGGTTGATTATAAGCGACGCCGCAGGTGCTTTGGAAGGAAATAGTCCACGCGCCTGCGAGATAACATTGTTGCGTTTAATGTATCACGGCGGCATGGAAGTTATCTTAATACGAGAAGTCAGCTATTTTCTCACTTTTTTCTCTTGCATAATGTAACAATCGGAGGGATGCCGCTTTTTGCAAGCTTGGTGAATTTTAATGAGAAGGGCAAGCGAGTTGCGCTTGTTCTACGGAAATTAAATATCGCAGTTATATCTCACAATCAGTTTCTTTTAAGCGGTATGAAAAATATCTCATTTCTGTTTTCTTTCGTTATTCTGTTTGAATTGATCGACTTATTTTCTAATTTTTATTAGGAAATGTCATGGTGGGCAACATTTCACATTTTAAAATCTATGCCGGTGGAAAAATAACCGGTTGGAAAAAAAAACAAAAATTGGTTTTTTCTGTTAAAAGCAATAAACAGAAAATTTTGTTATCGATATTCTAATCACTATTCTAGTTTAACGTCAATTGAGAAAATATTTTCCAATTTAAATTTTATTCAAAATAACATCCGTAATAGATTAAAAATCGATGTAACAAATAAATTAGTTTTTTGTCATAAGATGTTGTATGGCGAACCAGATTTACATTAATAAACAATTTTTATTTTATTGTTATTATGCTTTTCTCATGAAATTCAAAATTAATATAAAATTTAACAACATTTATATTATATACATATTATTTTTAAAGTTTTTATTTTAAAAATATATTTCATACATTAAGTTGAATTAAAAGATATTTTTATTGTAAGATATTTATTATAAGTTTGTTTCGTTTTTCTTTAAACTATTGCGCGTGATTAGTACGCTTTACTAATTAAAGCAAAAATATCGTTTTCATAAAGTACACAAACATTGTATTATTGCATATTAATCGTTTTTATAATTTTTGTTAGTTTATTTCATTGGGTAAAGTCCAAGACGATAAAATCTGGAATTTACCATGAAAGGTTTTTTTTTATCCACTGAATTTTTTTTTAGCCAACCCTGAAATATTGCGTTGATGATTTAATTAAGGGATTTATAGCAAATTGTAAATGCGTGCTGCGATATGGCGCGCGTTGTCACATTCAATCGGTCGTTTCACCTACGTGCATTGCGTAACGTGTCGGTGCACCTGAGAGTTGGTATCTCTATGTGTTACGTGATCCTCTCTCGAATGCACTCAGAAGCATAACACGTCGCAATTGTATTCCGGCAATTTCAGCATGTTCCTGCCCCGATCAGGTACAATCCTATATTGTATTATGCTTGTAACGCGAGATTGCGTTTCTCCTATCTCATGTAATTATTTCGGAATTAATATTTACTAGAGCGTCGACATATGCAAAAATTGCATTGTTGAATCTTGTTAATCAAATATAATAACATAACGAAACATTACGAGATATTACAGATAATATAACGCGTAATATGATATATAAAATATAGCGGTTTATTGCATTTCACCTGCGTCAAATCACATACGTAATCTTAACGTAATACATATTTAATCGTTAATTATTAATTTCATTTTTTATATGAAAATATCAACAATATACAGGATGTAAATTAATAATCATTAAATATTCTAGGGACATATTTCTATCGACCAAATAAAAAAGAGAACATGGGTCTAGAAACGTTTAGTTTTTTGGATAGGAGGAATTATATTGTTTAATAATGTCAAACAATTGAAACTAGTAAACATTTAAATATTGTCGAACATTAAACGCTATTTATATTTATATAAACTTTTTGTAATATTTGGAAATACGTTCCTAAAATATTTGACACTTATTAATTTATACTGCATATGTATTGTAATAGAATAAGCATATTTGAAATACCTGGTGCAGTGAATATCATAATTATATATGTTGATAAAATTCATAATAATTATTTGCAGAAGATATAACAAGGGTAAACTAATATGGAATGCTAAGAAACTAAGTAAAAAACTATATGAAGGTTAGAGGTACATTTAAGAGATAGCTGTAATTTTGTGGGCGTTTAATTTTGTGCTTGATATGTTTTCCTAGTATATTAGAGTACATGTTAGGTAAAGCGTTGAACTACCACAACCCACGTCATTCTGTGGCTTGGAGGTAAAGCGAAATAGCTGAACGTAATGGCGAACATAATGAACATAATTCGTGCATTTACCTTTAAGCCATAAAACTACATTGGGTTCCCGAGCTACATATGTATATAAAACCGCTATTCTTTCATGTCGTAAAACGACATTGAATGTCTTAAATTTTAAAATGCCTTTTTTAATATTTATTCTTAGATTTTTAAGCAGGAGATAATATTGATCCCGCTTTTAACTTTCGAAAATAATTTTGGAAGATTAAATGATTTTTCTGTTTTTCAATTTATAAATTATTATATTACATACGACTCTTTAATTTAAGGTTATTATTAGTAAAATAAGATGTCCCATAAATGGTCTTTAAAGATAATATCTGAACAGTATTACGGAAAAGCTCTTTGCAATGCTATAGTCATGCTTTGTTATGAAGCTATCAAAAATGATATAGTTGATCTGACTTTTATTTTAGAATTTTTTAAGAACTCTTTTCTTTCCATGGCGACATTAAACGGATTATCTTTCTTTGAAAAATATTGGACAGACAAACAGTGCTCCTTGAATCGTGACTGAAACATGGTCGCTGCTCTAATTCGCAGAAACGGAAGAGCATATTTTCGTTCTGCTTCCGTCCATTATCGTTACGAAAAATATAAAATATAAAGATAATATGTAAATATGCAAATTTAAAAAAACACTTAAAGTTCATGAGATATCACAAACATTATGCCAATTGTAATCATATGATTATGTACAAGCACAGCTGTTTTTAGATTTAAAATTCATATGAAATGTTTCTTTTCTGAAAATTGCTTTCTGCTATTTTTTTTAGATTGCAACGTTGATCATACTATTATTAAATTTCATAAATTTAAAGATTTACTATAAAAAATGATTAATATCAAGCAAATAAAATTCATAGCGAAAAGATAACGAATTCTCTTTTTCACAACATACGCTTTTAAGAAACAGAATGAATTTAAACTCTGCAAGAACGTAAGATGCCATTGAGAACTTGCTTTGCCAAAATGGTGAGCAAATAAACTCCCAATTTTGTCGTTGCTTACATAAACCTCCTTGGACGCTATCATATTCAAAAGACCAAACTTGGTCGCTGATTTACGCGCTTATTCTTGACGTTTCTTTGATGTGCTGACGATATATCTTCGCAAATAGTTGATGTATCTTTAAACGTGACGTATTGGAATTCTATTTCCACATTACATTCTATTTCCACATTACATTCTATTTCCACATGTTTAGCAAATTACGCCGTTATGATTACTTCGCGAACGCTAACATTTATTTAGCCAGCCTGCCATTTCAGTCTACGCGTAGATGCACTAATGGAGTATCATTAAATAGTCGATTATTTATGATGAAATTGAATAT